CAACCATTCCTCAGGTGATGGGTATCTTGGTTGTTTCCAAGATTGGGCTATCACAAATTGCGCTGCTATAAACATAGGCACACTTATATCCCTATGATATGATGTTTTCAGGTCAGTTGGTTTAAATGGGATTTCCAGTCCAACTTTTCTAAGGAGTCTCCACACTGATTTCCATAATGGCTGCACCTGTCTACATTCCCACCAGCAGTGGAGAAGGGTTCCTTTTTCCCCATGCCTCTGCAACATTTTTTGTTGGTTGATTTCTTTGTGATAGCCATTCTTTCTGGGCTGAGATGATATCTCAATGTTGTTTTAATTTGCATTTCATGGAAGGCTAGTGATGTGGAGCATTTTTCGTATATTTATTTGCTTCTTTAATTTCATCTTCTGAGCAATGTGTGTTCATATCGGATGTCTATTTCTGGACTGGGTTTTTGATATGTTAAACTTTAAGTCCCTACAGAATATGACAAAATTTAAAATAATTTTGAAAAATAGGAAGAAAGAATTATATTTGTTTACACATAAATCCAGAAATCTAACCTTGTACAACATTGTTGGAGGATAGTCCTGCTACATTCGTTTTCCTTTCTCCTGCCCTAATTAACCACCCCATTCCTTTTTCAATAATCATCTACCAGAGAGATAACACAGCAGCTACCGGTGTGTCATGATGAGCAGCACATATTCAGAAGACCAGAATTCCAGGCACTCCAAGCATGAAACTACTATTATACATTGCCATCTTCAGTGAAGTTTCTTAGTTCACAGGTGTCAATATATATAGTCAGGGTGAGAATCCTTCCAATTACCTGCTAGATTCGAAAATCTTCTGAAGATTCTCAGGATCATTGCCTTACCCATCTTGTACATATAACGGTATGGCTTTTATCTGTCACGTTTCCTTTCTCTTCTTCTTGCTCTCTCTTCATTGTCTAGTTCTCAAGTTCTTGGGAAGCTTGTATTTCTAGGAGGCTAGCATTGAGTGTTTTTTCCTAGCTTCCTTGGAATTTTTATTCGAACTGAAATTCTGTCCTGGTAGTAAACAACAGAAATGTCTGTTTGTTAAATGAAGTACAAGGGACTAGATTCTTCCATATTATTTATATTATGTCAATTTAGTATTGTGGTTGATATTTATTTATTTATCTGTACATCTATCTCTCTATGTATGTATGTATGTATGTATGTATGTATGTATGTATCTATCTATCTATCTATCTATCTATCTATCTATCTATCTATCCATCTATCTCTATGTGTCCAAAGCAGGAATCATTAAATAAAGCACCAGTAGTCTTACTTTTATCTGTTGTTTTTCTTTGCAATGCTGTGTGACCTCTTCTTTGAAAGGTGACAGTGGAACGCTTTTTCTGAGCGTAGTGGTTGTAATCTCTCATGTTTATTCATGTTTTTAGTCTCTCTTGGGAAAGACAAAGCAGACCATGATAAATCTGAGGATTTCAAACCTTGGAAAGGGGATTGTTTCAAAACTCTGATATTTGTACTCCAGACTTTGAGCAAGACAAAGGGCTTGATAACCTATTAACATGCTTTCTCAATCCAAGGTCCCTTATTCACCCCAATATGAGTTATCTTTTGACCCTCCTAAAATTTCAGCAGTACTACATAGCCTGAGTTAAACATAGATTCCAAATCTCAATTTGTCAAAATATTGTGTTTCCTAGGCACTTCCCACCTTTGATGACCTGGTACAGATGGAGTACCTGGACATGGTGGTGAATGAAACTCTCAGATTATATCCAATTGCTAACAGACTTGAGAGAGTCTGTAAGAAAGATGTTCAAGTCAATGGAGTGCTTATTCCCAAAGGGACAGTGGTGATGATACCAACCTTTGCTCTTCATTTGGACCCAGAACACTGGCCAGAGCCTGAGGAGTTTCGTCCTGAAAGGTACTGGGATCCTGAGAAGGGAAATTATTCTGAACCAGGATAGTTAGTCTAAGTATTTTATGATGACTTGTTCTTGAAATGACATATGTGTGATTGTTCATTCATTTCTTGTATGTCTTTTTGTCTTTAGAAGTTTCTTTTATAGCTGCAAAGTAACAGTGACTGTCAAAACAATATAGTTAGATAAAAGAAGAGAAAAATATCCTCATCTACAGTCCACATGTTTTTGGGACAAACTACCCACCACTCAAATTTAAGGAAGGATAGATTTATGTAGTTCACAGTTAGTGGAGGTTTCAGTCCATACTCAGCTGGCACTAAGGCAGAGTCTTATCCAAAGAACAAAGTTCATGGTGGCAGAAAACAGCCAAAAAGCCAAGGATGGAGCAGTGGCTACAGTAGCTAGTAAGCCTCTCTCCCTTCCTTACATTGCAATGCACATTACCCACCAGGAGTCAGGGTAGCACACACATGCATAATCCCCACACTGGATCGTGAATTTATCACAAACTCTAGAAGCCACGGCAATGACTGCTTGAGGCTTTGGGGTGGGGCTGACAACTAGACACAACCATAGCACCTAGATAATGATATGTCCTGATGGACATATATTTGTGTACAGTGTACATATATTTTTGATGACAAGTATTGTAATATATTTTTCTTGTATTATGTACTGCTTTACTTACTACAAACTAGAAGCTACTCACTGTTTTCTTTATAAATGATCATACACATTATTCATAATTTACTTAACCACAACACTAAATAGGTAAGTTTCTTCTTCTTTCAGCGTTTCTATAGTAGTCCCTGGAGGTGTTTAACTTTACCTTCAGTTTTAAGAAACTTGTTTCCACTGTCTACTGGCTTCCATTTCCTATCATGAGAGTGTAAAGTGCAGGAAGAGGACCAGAGGATTCCTGTCCCTGATGGATTGGTTTAGTCTCCAACTATCATCCTGGGCCAGCTCCCTCATACTCTCCATAGTTTTTGATTCCTCAAAAGCCCAATAATCTGCTCAGTACAGTTCTGAGAGAATCTTCCTTGGAAGCGTCCTGAACAGGCTCTTTGGGGAATCCTGAGTCAAGTGCTCAGCAAGTGTCAGAGATAGGGCCAGGCAGTTGGAAATCTAAATATTGAAAAACATTTACTGGTGAGAATATTTTACATATACTAAAGTATAATCTATGTCATAAAACACTATTAATGTGTCTACATGGCCCTTCACTTATCCAAACAACCATCCATCCATCTCACATGTCTCATCCACACACTGCTACACCTCTCCATGGACTCCCAGTCTGTTTGCAGCATACCACGTGTAAATATTTCAAAATGTTCTTCACAGTATAAGAACTGTATTAAAAGTATATGATTTGGTTATATACTTTTCATAAATCTCTCGTGTTTCCACTAATTTAAACACAATACGATGAATTAAGTTTGAATAAAGATTCAGATCTAAATGGATGAACTTATTTATTCATTATAGCTCAGTGACAGAAGCACCTGCCTGGCAAGCACAAGGTCCTGAGTTCAATCTCTGGTACAAAGAAAAATCATCTAGGGCATGGGTGCTATGTTAGGGTGAAGGGGAATGAGGAGAAGCACTGAAAGCGCCAGAAGCGGGCATGGTGCGGGAGTCGGGTTGGACCCATGGCTGAGGCAGGCTCCCCTTCCCTCTTGCCTTAGTGGGTCATGCCCAGGGTGGCAGCCGAGGGGCAGTGGTTGAGGGGATGGGGGTGCGTGGGTGGGGGAAGTGATTTTGCGGTCCCAGCACAGAAGACTGCTGTTTCCATTTACAACACAGGATCACAACAGACGCAGCCACCAGAGAAGCACTATGGCATCGCCCAGCCTATCAGTTTAGCAACCCCTAAGGAAACCAATGCACAGAAACTCATAGAGACTCTGAAGCCTTTGGACGTTTTTGAGGAGGAATTGCAGCGCAGGATTTTAATTTTGGGAAAATTAAATAACCTGGTGAAAGAGTGGATATGACAAATCAGTGAAAGCAAGAATCTTCCATAATCTGTAATTGAAAATGTTGGAGGACAAATTTTTACATTTGGATCTCACAGATTAGGAGTACACACACACACAAAAGGTGCCGATATTGGTGCATTGTGTGCTGCACCAAGACATGTTGATCAAAGTGACCTTTTCACATCATTCTATGATTAATTGAAATTACAGGAAGAAGTAAAAGATTTCAGAGCTGAAAGAAATTGTATTGTAAATGATACAATTTTATTTCAAACAGCGTTTCCCTCCCCTCATCTCAAGAAGTCTTAAAGTTTCAAGATAGTATGGGATGAGGAAAAGGCCCTTACTTTATAATTCTCAGAGGAAAGTTATTATAAAAGGATTTGCAAATAACCCACAAAGCATCTTGTAGTTTTTAAATGTTTCATTCACTTGTTCTCATGTACTTTAAAATTATCTTTATTAGTACACATTTGCAGTACATAATGATTACATTCCTGTGGGGAGTTGATACATGTACATAAAGATTATTTAAACTTTGCTTCCCTCTTTCTTCTCTTCACTCCATCTCTTAATCTCTTTCCTAGTTGAGAAAAATCTGTCTTCCTTCTTATTATCTATCTTTTATTTTGCTCTTTATTTATACTTTGGGTTTCTCATATAAGAGAAACCATGATATTTAAGTTTATGTACCTGGTTTATTTTGCTTAACAAATGACTATTTTCCCACCAGATTCAGTAAGAAGAACAAGGACCTCATCAACCCTTACATATACTTGCCCTTTGGGAATGGGCCAAGGAACTGCATTGGCATGAGGTTTGCTCTTATGAATATCAAACTTGCTGTCATCAGAATCCTGCAGAACTTTACCTTGCAACCTTGTGAGGAAACACAGGTCTGTGCACTTTTTGTATACACTGTGTTTTATTGAGGGATACTTTTTAAGCTAAAGGGTTGATACACATAGAGAATATCTGTATTTGTCTTCTAGTAATTTGTTTTTTGGGCAAAGGATGATGCATTTCGACTCTGGAAATGGACTTCAAGGATGCTTAAGTTCTTGATCTATAAATTAGTGTATGTATGAATTAAAAGAATTTTTTGTTTTTATTTTTTTAATGGTCACAGTATTCAATTTATTTCACTTTCCATAATACTTTCAATGTTTACCTGTTTATAGTATACATTACTACTTCTTTGATTTTTAAAGCTAACTAGCAGTCCTTCATGTGGGTATACCATATTTTTAATCCATTCATCATTTGATATAAATTTGAGTCATTAGTACTTTCTGGCTATTATGAATATATTTTTTATTTTTTAAAAGAATACAAAATAGTAATACAAAAAGTATAATGATCACATAGAGTCCATGTAGATTAATATGACATGATTATATATGGTCTTTCAAAAATTGAGCTGTTTTAAATGTCGTGTCAAGTTACCTGCAGGTGGGATATGTTGTACATATTGAATTACAGCGATCATATAATGGTAATTTTTTATTAATTTTATTGTGAAACAAATAGCGATGAGACAGTTTCAATTCTGATTTATATGGACAGTTTCAATAATGAATACATTGCATATTGTTGTCTTCATAGTGGTTATTCATAGTACAAGATGCAGACATGTTACCTTGTCCAAATACTGTTAGTACAAGTATTTCTTTTATCTTGGTCTTAACTCTCCAGCAAAAAAGTCTAATAAGGAGGTATGAAAATTAAAGCCATATTAATATGCTGAGCTGCAAAGTTCTCATTTCAACAACTTCTGACATTTCCAGTCCTACGGATAATCATTTTTCAATGGTGTTCTCCTCCACTCCAACTTTGAGAAACCCCTTTGACTGTGGTTGTCAGTCACTGGCCATGCATTGCAATCATTAAATAATGTTTCCTGTGTCATCTCATCATATTCTCCTTCATAAATCTCCTCACTGTCACTTTCTGTTGCTCAGCAAGAAGTTGCTGAAATTTATCTGTAGACAATTCCTCTGAGTGTTCCTCCACCAGTTCCATGACATCAGCACTGTCTTCCTGCAAGCTTGTGGTCTCTGCTACAGAGACAGTTTCATCAATCACATGTTTATTGGAAGGCTCAGGCTGATCTACACAGCCTTCAAATTCTCTCTGCTATATAATTTTAGGGCACAGTTTCTTCCAGGCAGTTCTCAGTGTTCTTAATGAGACATTGCCAAGGATTTCTCAGTTAACTCCACACAAAGGAAAGGATTCTGTAATGTTCCTTTCAGAACTCCTTAAAGGTTAAATCTGAATCTAGGACCATCTAGAAGCACTTCAGGAACAGGTATTGGTGTACAACTTCTTGAAGTTAGCTATGACCAGCTGGTCCATATTGTACAATAGAGGATTTGTATTAGGTGTGAGGAACTCAACTGAGAACTATAGCAATTCTTCAGACAACTGATCTTCTAAATCTCATGGTTGAATAGTAACACTGTCATTGATGAGCAGAGCCTTGAGTGGTAAACACTTGTCTTCTAGATATGTCTTAATAATAGCATAGAAAAGCCTGGCTGATCTACTGAAGAAAAAGTACTCTTGTTACCCAGGGTTTTGCATTAGACCTCCATGTGATACCTTAGTGTATTATTCTTGGCTTTATGTTTTCTGAACATTCTAGAAGTCTCAGACTGATAAACCAAGAGACACCTATTTTGAGTTCACTACTCACATTGGCACATAGGGATAATGTTAGCCTATACTTCCATAGACTTTTAGCCTAGCATTTTCCCATATTCGTGGGTAATGTATGCTCTCCTATACATTTTTCACTAGAAAAGACCAGTTTCACCATTGTAAACTTATGAGCGAAAGCCTTGTCTCTGTGTCACTGTTTTTTAAATAATTTTCAACAGCCCTGTTATTGTCACTGGCTGCTTCAACATATCTAGTTTTACTATAAACCCCAGTTCCCACTTTGGAATTGTGAAACTAAACCCTACTGGCTAGAATATGTTTCATCATTATCACTCATTGATGGACTATTCTTTACAAGATCTGCATTTGTAGTCCCAGCTTTGTCACAAATTACAGACTCAGATGGGCTATAACCTGCCATCTGCTTTTCATTTAGCCACACTAATAATGGGATTTCTACCTTATGTAACATTGTTGATTGTGACTTACTAATTTGAACAATTATATAAAATTTTACGAATTATATAAAACACTTGCCAGAGTCACAGTCACAATCACATATATGTGGGTTGAGACTGATGCTTATATTTCTTACATATTTTTTTCTGGCATCACACATTTTTGTTTATAACCACAATTGACTGGCACTTGGGTTGTAACTGAAGATTTTGATCATATGTAAACCTAAAATTCTTGTAATAACCAAGGTGCTTGTATGTGAGTCATTTGTTATTCAAGGATGTATTGTAAAGACAACAAGCAAATATTTTATTTTTGGCCTGGCACAGAATTGGTGTTCAGTAGTTTTTTGCCAAATGAATGTTTGAATGACTTTTTTATTATCTAATCTTAATTAAGATTAGATAATAAATGTAAGGAATTCAAAATTCATTATGTAATTTTAGTGTATTTTGAAAACATTATTATCTTTAATGTATTTTTTCTCTTTAGTCCTTTTTTGGTGATTTATTTGTTATTTCTCAATGTTCTTTTTCAATTGTTGCAGATCCCCATGAAAATAAACAACTCTGCCCTTGTTCAACCAGAAAAGCCCATTGTTCTGAAGGTTATGCCAAGAGATGCTACCATAAGTGGAGCCTGATCTTGCTGTGGGATTTCAGCTATGTTCTTCAAGGAGACTATGTCCCCAAACATCAGAGATTAATTTGCCTTTGAATAAAATTTAGATGAATATAGGCTTAGGTTATTATCCTTGGATAATGATTATAGATTTATCAGAATCATGAAGCTTATTCACCATGTTATGTTACTTAGCATGTAATGTAAAGTAGAAAACTGGATTAGTGAAAAATATGTAAAGGTCATTATCTGTGATTAATGTGAGATTCCATCAGTGAAGTCTGGCTAGAGTAAATATTTCTCAATAATTTCATGAATAATTTTTAATAAAATGGTATTGTTAAGGTGACTTTAGTAGTTAAATTTATATAAAATGTTTTCTTGAGACCTCCCCCACCCCACCTGCCGAGTAGGAATTTCTGCCGCGATCCTGGAATCCCCAGACCCAGTCCTAGCCCAGGTCCAGTGAGAGTGTGGGAGAGCTTCCTGCTAACCTGCAATGGCGGGACCAGTCCCAGCCGAGGCGCAGCATGGGCCGGACCCTCTCCCACCCCCTTGGGAGACTCCGCACCACCCCACAGACCTCCCCCACCCTGCCCGCCGAGTAGGAATTGCTGCCGCGTTCTGGGAAACACCAGAACCAGTCCTATCCCAGGTCCGGTGAGTGTGTGGGAGAGCTTCCTGCTACCCTGCACCAGCAGGACCAGTCCCAGTCCAGGCGCAGCGTGGGCCAGACCCTCTCCCACCCCCTTGTGTCACCGTTTACTACTCCGCAGACCTCCCCCACCCCGCCTGATGAGTAGGAATTTCTGCCGCGTTCTGGGAACTCCCAGACCCAGTCCTAGCCCAGGTACAGTGAGTGTGTGGGAGAGCTTCCTCTTCCCCCTACTTCAACATGCCGCCTCCAGGCACAGCTCAAACCTGGCATACATGAATGGGGTGTAACTCGGCAGCTGCAAAACCTGCAGAGAGTGTAGAGGATAGATCCACCCAGCTAGTCCAGGAGCAGAACACCTTGACACAGGGGCACAACAGGTTCACCCTCAAGGGCAGTAGCGGGAAGGAGCTGAGCACAGCAGCCCGACCCAAGCTAGACACAGCTGGATAGGTACAAACTTTGTAGAGCTGCATCTGAACTTCAGTACATGCAAAGGTTATAACTAGCAAAGATCTATAATGAAGGTCAGAAGACAGTGCTACACAAAATGATGAGAAGGAA